ATCCTGAAAATGGGCCTTTAAGCTTATGTAGCTCTTACATTCAAAATCATGAAAATAATTAATTAATCAATCATTGTTGGCAGCATTTCTAATCAATTTCATGTCATAATAGACAAAAGAAAATAGAAAAGAAAAGAGGCGACATTCAAAGATAAAGCTGTTCCAAATCTGACAGAACAAGTGTTAGAGGGAGTTTAACTAAGGACACACTTCTGCAAATATTACTGCAGGATTATATTGTTTGTAATCTCCGTGCTGAGGGGCACATCTAAGAGAATGTGTATCGCTTGTCTCTATAACCTGTAGATGTGAAGAGCTCTCAGGAGCTGCATCAAATTAAATTCCTCCCTCACTTGATATGTGAGCTCATTTAAGCTTCTCGGCTTTGCTTGTGCAAAAAAAATGAAATAAATAAATAATTTAAAAAACTTTATCGCAAAGCAACGCGCCAGACGTGAACCTCAGGTGTTTTTTCTTTCTTTTTTTCTCCCCAAACTTCCTGCAATAAAAGTTTCATCCACACACTTCTGAACTCTTAGAGAAAAGATTACTGAATAAAAAATAAACCGTATCTGAAGATGAAAAACCGAGAGTGGCCAAGTGAGACGTGCACATGACAGATTCAGGATGTCACCTGTAAAAGGAAATAAAAATGTATTTATTTTTTAAACACACAGTATCAGGAGGCAAGTAAGCTCAATTTATTCTGGATTTTCCCCCTTTTTTACAGATTTCCTTTCTTTTTCTTTATGCCAACTTATCTCTGCAGTTTGCACTATTGTAACAATCCTTCCCTCCCGGGCAATAAAGGAGAAGGAATGAGACCTGAGAGATTTCCTCTAAAGAGATAATTATCCCTCTCCTCTTCCTTGTGAGCTTTTCATCCAGTGTCCCTCTTGTTGCCAGGAAACCAACCAGGGTAAAGACTCTTCGCAACCCTGCTCTCCAGCTGAATGTAGCGGTGGAAAATCGTTATCATCTCGCTGCTTTTCGAGGCTGTTGATAAATAGGAGATAGCGAGGACAGTCACGGGACACGTGTGAGGCCTTTTGAAGCTGCGCTCTCACTGTCGGTGAAGGTGATTTCGAGGCGTACGGACAGGGTGTAATAGATGAGGTCGGCGTGTTCGCTCTGAGAGAGACATCACAAACGCGAGAGGGGGGTCTTTGCTGTAAGTCATCCACATCTAAGTCCTTATGTGGGATAACCCTGTGCCTGGTTGGGAAGTGTGTAGTTAGACTGAGAGCACCTACAAGATAAAGACCATAACCAGAACATATCAAATGTTCTTTACTTGTGGCTACTTGTCTATATTGCTGCACTCGTCTTAATTACATTGGTTTAACCTGTGAAACGTGAGCACATAAGATAAGGAGCACCAGTCTTCCAAAAAACAGAACACTCCTCTTTTGATGTTTTCATGGCGAAGCAGAGTGCTGTCCAACCATGGATGACCACAGTATGAAATATACATCATTTTCATACTTATCAAACTGGTCATCCTGAAATGAAAGAACACTTCCATCATTAGAGGATAACAGGGACCATTCAGAACAACTTTACATTGACTTGTAGTGGCCATTCTCTCTACAGGGACAGGTGACCTGAACCATGCCGGTAAAATGCTCCCAGGAGCATAACACTGTAATGAGACAGCAGGAAGAGCAGTTGTTGTCTTTAAAGTAGCCAATATGGAGACAGATAAACAGATAAAGGAAACCTGTTTCCCACAAGCCTACATTTAGTGGCTCCGGCTATTCGGGGGGAGCTACTTTGAAAATGGAAGCAAATGACATCAATCCCCCTGAAAAATACGGAGGAAGAAGAGTCCCAATGCACAGGAAGTTTAAGTGGGGTATTCAATAGATGTGTTGCTCTGTAGACTGTGTTGCATCTCTTCCACTGCAGACGGTCAAAAGATTTAAAAAAGAAATGCTTAACACGCCCAAATGAACTATGCATGCAGGAAGTGATCTGTGTGCATTCTCTTGTTAATGTTATTTTGTGGAGGAGACACAGTTTGTTCTCGGTGTAACTGGATATATTAGATAAGTGCTTTAGTTATCTTGATAGAAGTCACGTGTGTAACTGCTGTCATATCTATTGGACAGTTAGTTGTCCACTAGACGGCGGTATACACATCAGGCAGTTATTTCAATATTGCGCTATATAATATATCCATCCATCCATTCGCTTCCGCTTCTCCTTTTCAGGGTCGCGGGGGGCGCTGGAGCCTATCCCAGCTGTCACAGGGCGAGAGGCTATATAATATATATATTAATATATATGATGATAATATAAGCAATACAAATGTATCTTATATTTCTTCATTAAACTTTTATTCCGCGTTTCACGGCAAAATGTGCAGAAACGCATTTCTTATCGTGCACTCGCAATAAAGGTCATCCGGGAAAAAATAAAAATACATTTAAAAATAGAATTAAAAATTTTTCATTGTAATTTGGTGTGAAAACGTTAAAACGCGGTTTTATATTGCGCACGGAGGTCAAAGTTCACTAGTTCGCCTCTCAAAATGGCGGCTGAGCCCACACGGGAATGGAGCGATGAGCAGCTCAAAAGTGATGATTTGTCCAAAAAAGACATAATAAAGTTCCTGCAGGACAATGCGGCCCACTCGGTATGTTTCTCCCTTTAGTCTCCTCGGGATTCCGGTTGGGATATCTGCAGGTTACCGGTTTGAATTCTCACTGTGAAGTGCAGCATGCAGCACGGCTAGCTCCGATGGGATGCTTTGCTTCAGCACAGCAGAGCACAATGTTCAGCACTATCTGCACATTAATACGAATGCAAACAGCTTCTCTTAGGCTTTGACCTGCGCAGCTCCTCGTGGCTTGAGCGCAAACGAGTTAAACTTTCTCCTTCTGTTCGTTTGTTGTTATTTCAGTTCCTCAACGAGCACAAGCTGCTCGGAAACATCAAAAATGTTGCCAAAACTGCAAAGAAAGAGCAACTGATTATCGCCTACGATCAGCTCTTCGAGAGCAAAGTAAGTCACGATTGTCATTCGCCTCGATGATGAACCTTGATAACGAACATAAAATGTGTAAACGTGTGATTTGCAGAGGTTTAAAGGCACAGAAGCAGTGGAAGAAGTGACGGAGAAGGTTAAAGCTGTGAAAGTCGAAGAAAAACCCAAAGATGTCAAGACAGAAGTTGTGGATGAGGTACTGATCCACACCATCAAATATCAACTTTTTAATATCATCATTTATATAAAGAAGGAGACCTATAATATGTTGTAATTTCTTTTGTCCATTCGCATATCCCACATGGGGATAAGTGTATTATAACCACGTGCATGATACTGATGCTCAATGTTGGTTAATGGGGGGGCGTGCAGATTTTGGTTCTGTAGATTATGGTTACTGGAGTGAAAAATTCAGGTGTACTCACGAAGACTCAAAAATGCTGTAATAATAATGTGAATTGGGAAATATTTTTTCATTGTATGCTAAAGTACAAAAGGCCGATTCTGGTGAGCACTCAGCGATTATTCACATTTATTGACTACTGCTTCATTACTTCTCTCAGGGTCCTCCAAAGTACACCAAATCAGTGCTGAAAAAAGGCGACAAGACAAACTTCCCAAAGAAGGGCGACACTGTGAGCTGCTGGTACACCGGAACCTTAGAGGATGGGACTGTCTTTGACACCAATGTTCCCACAGGTATGACCGCATCGCACTCGTAAGGTGATGCTCTGTCGCTAGTCGTGCTTTTGCATTATTGAAAATGTTAAACTAAGTAATTTGTACTTTTTAGTTATGTAGATCAAATCTCTATGTAGCGATGAAGAATCTGTCCTTGTTGTCTTCGATCTGCAGGGGCGAAAAAGAAGAAACAGGCCAAACCACTCAGCTTCAAAGTCGGCTTGGGCAAAGTCATCAGAGGAGTAAGTTGCTCTGCTGTTGTCATTTAGTTTTCTGAACTTTTATTTCTATGTCTAATGTCTGTAATCATCACAGTGGGATGAGGCCCTACTGACAATGAGCAAGGGTGAAACTGCTCGATTGGAGATTGACCCTGAATGGGCTTATGGAAAGAAGGGCGTCCCTGAGTCCAAGTATCCTTTTTTCCCTCCCCTCTTTGGTATTTTGTACCCTGCGTGCATGTTTCATAAATATCGAAATATTTCTAAAGGGATGTGATGAAACTACACGAGCTGTCTGCACGTAAGGTCAGAGCTCAGCTTGTAATGTGGCTTGATTCTTGCTTATAACTGTGCTCCTTTATTGTTTTACACTAACATAATTAAATGAAAGCCAATTTTCCTTAACTCTACCTCTCCCAGAATTCCACCCAACGCAAAGCTGATTTTCGAGGTCGAGCTGGTGTCTGTGGATTAGCCCAAAGCATGCACTACATTTCAAGAATTCCCACCTAATTAAAGGCCTTGAGGTAGAGGGGGATATCAGCATGCGTCTTGGATTGCAATATTCCTGGGATGCCTGTGCTTTAGCATAGCATTACACATATACCAATTGGATTTAAAAAAAAAAGTTTGATTTGGACAACATGGAATGGCTTGTTAATAATGTACATATAAGAGACTGTGAAATGTTATCTTTTTGTTCTTTTGCATGTACAATGTCAGAAATAAATCATTTTCCCCAAATTTGTTCATTTCAGTTAACCGGTCACTGTACAGATTGCACCTGTCTACATCGTGTTCTTTAGCCTGAAGTCAACTGTATTAAGAGAACTAGTTTGTGTGGTGTACGAAGTACTAAAACCTCCCAGTAGTTTTATGCCAACTACTAATTGTTGTTCCTGGAAGATTTTAATAAGTTGTAAATACAAGACTTTGTGTCGCACCCATAAGGTGCGAGACCATTCTAAATATGTAAACTAAGGCATTCCATGTACAGTGATGCACGTCTTTAGGGTCTAAGCATCCAGTGTCTGAAGTTTAGCTTCAAAGCTAAATTTGCCAATTTTAGCTAGCATTAATTCCTAGAGACAGATGAACTTTGGCTCAAATACAGGACAATTGTCTTTATTAAGAAACCGCAAAGATTATTTGCTAAAGATCTAGATTTACATTGCAGGACAAATCACTCATCTAGACCAAGTCAAAATTGTTTTTATTTTGTACAGGATGACATTTAACTTGGTAAAAACTGACAGGTGATGATGCGGTTTCTCCTTTGGGGCAGTGAACCACTTAAGAGTTGGCATTGGGTCCCTTCTTCTTTCCGAAGGTGGGAACGACATTCACAAAGCGCCTGTTGTACTGGATGCGGCGCTTAGCACGGCCAGTCTTCTTCTTCTTCTTCTCCTGCTTATCAACCTGAAGAAAAATAAGTGGATTGGCATCATTGTAAAAGTGAAGTAAAAGCAGATGTAGTCTGTAGTATAGCTGAAGGCAGAGTCCCCCCAGAATTTTTTTTTGAAGAAGAAGAAGAGGTGAGGTTACACTTACTTTGGGAGTCTGTCCCCGCACTTTTCCGGCACGGGCCAGAGAGCCGTGAACCTTACCTGGTAAAGTGAAAGAGAGAAACAAAGATCATGCTATCAAGGTGGTTTTGTTAAGACAAACTATATTGGTGCCATCCTCGGTGTGCCAAGTTTTGAAGTCCCGAAGAAAACAAACATTCAAATATGTGAATAGCTACATGTCATGCACACATACCTCCCAGAAGTCTGCCAGCTACCTCCAGGGTGCAGTGCTCGGAGACACCGCAAGACACCAGAGAGGCATCATTCTCCAGAGGGCACCCAGCAAGCAGCAGCACCTGATCCTCAACCAGGAGACCTTCCAGAGCCTGGACATGAGCCTGGGACACAAACAGGTTTTCTCATAATAATCCTTTATTCAATATTGCCATTAATAAGGTACAATTTTTACACTGGTACAAGTTTTACCTTGATCTGGCCGACAGTCTCCTCTCCAGTCACCTCAAGGGTGTGAGTGTTCTGGCCACGTAAGAAAAGCTGCATCTTGATGCTGGGGGAAAAAAAGAAAAAAAAGGTAGGGCCAAGCATCTTTAGTCATGGATAAAACTTTTATTAGTTTTCATATAAAAGCATAACTGTAACGTCCAACTACCAACATAGCTATTTTATGTTTACTGGACTTGACTATATAACAAGGACTTTGACATCAATTACAATAACTGCTAATTAGGACATCTGATAAAACGCTGGCATCCCTTGAAAATGCTGTGTGCTTTACTTGGTGTGACAAGTAAAAATGTCTACCGTGACGATCATCGCGGAAACATACTTGCGGCATTAAAATTTATTATAACAAATCCCGACTACCAAACCTTCACTTTGCCTTCATACTTCATACTCATAGAATATGAAACCCACATATGATCCTCAAAGTAAATATCTCCGGTGGTAACCTGAAACTTATTAAAACTGTGGAGAAATAATGCACTACCAGCCGCCGGGAGCTGAACTGAAGCTTCTCCCGGGTCCTAGCCAAAGCTATGCTAACTTAGCTAGCCACATGGGGCACGCGTATGGTAAAAGTCCAGTAAAAACATATGAAATACACCTTCACTCGTCAATAAAAAGCCAAACTTATGGTTACGGATGACATATGTGCATCAATCGCAAGATAAAACATGTGACGACAAAGCCAAACTGGGAAATTTTTATTAAAAGTGCACAGCTCTCACCTCGTTTGATGCTAGTCGTGCAACGCTAGGCATAAAAAGGACTGTTTAAGGGTCTACACAGCGCATGTGCGGATTTACGTAACGCTCGTCGGACGCGGTGGCCACGCCTCTTGTACTTTGGTAGTGTCGCAGATTTATCTGTTCTAGTATAGCAGTTATATTTACGGGTTCATGTGATCTTCATAGGTTGTATTTATCTATTTTCTTTGATGTTTTGCAGAAATGCCTGCTCTACTGATATTTGTATTTTATTTTATTAAATTTTGTTTGTTTATTCTCACGGTGTCCTGTTTGTTAAGGTTTTGTTAAGTTTTGTTCTTGAAATTAACATTAACAAATATGGGGGAGAGGGGGGGTAAGTTTTTAAAACTGTTTGACTCATTAATATAATTAATATACACTAAATTATTCACGAAATCCTGGTCCTTGTGGTTTATACCAATGTCCCACAACCAACATCAAATTATGTCTTATGTATTATGTTTCATTTAATTATTTTTTTCTCCTACACTTCAGTATTACTGACTGCACATGGAGAGGGTTATATACTCGTCATATTCTTGTGTTTATTTCTTTACAAAAAATACTAAAAAGTTTGTTTGAATATGAGTGGATAATAGTCCTGGGGTGGCATGTCAGCATGTGACTCCCATGGCAATAACAATATTCTGTTACCTTCAGCAATGATTTCAGTGGTTTAAGTGTGGCTCATTTTCACATAAGGATCAAAACGATAGTTCATTTGTATAATTTCAGCCAACTGCTAAACAGTGATATACTTTTTGAGAAGGTTTTGGGGTTTTTTGTTTTTTGCTGTGAAGCAGCACCAGTACAGAGCTCATGTGATGCTGAGATTAGAGCTTCATTTTTACAGAAACACAAAAGTGGCATGAGAACATCTCATTTATCTTTGAGCTCATATTTACCACAAAAGATTCTTCATCCTACTACATTGTAACTGTTCTACATGTTAACTTTGTCATATATCTAGATGTAATGTGTATTTATCTTTGAGAAAATCTATTATGCTTACTTTGTATGTTCATATCAAACCTCAAAACCCCTGAACTTTATTTTTGTCTTCTATGACAGTTTTTGCCTGAAACACAGCTGGAAAAAAAGTTTAATTTCAATCCTTCAAAAACCACTCGAGCTTCAGCTTGACTAGCAATGCTTTTTGCACATTATTGGGGTATGTTGTGGGTGAAAATGTTTTCATATAAAATGTACTCATAATTATTGTCGTAAAGTGTAATTATTGAATGAGTTGCCAATGAACAACAAAATGTAAATTAAGGTTTTTTGTTGTTTTTAAAGGCAGTTACCGTGTATACTGTTATATTCAGTTACCGTGGCTCAGTGCAGCATCTAGAAATGCTTGTCAGGGATTTCAGCTTTTGTGGAAACCCATTATTCAAATATATTTCATATTTTAATTACATTCCTGCCTATTGAATATTGGAAAGGAAAAGTTGTTTTACTTTGAATGACAGTAAAAGTGTAAACTAAACAGCTAATGACAATATTCATTCTAGCCCTTTGTGAATTATTTAAAACAAAACAAAAAACATTTAAGGATATCAATCTCTTTATTATGAAATCAAGTCAAAATAAAAAACAAGGAACTCTTTGTTGCTCTTTAGGGAAACATAACCATGAGTTATTACAAATCTTTGTGATTGGGGGGGGGAAGAATGATGACAGATACATTAATGAAAGCTTCCCCTTACAAGTTCTTTAACACAAAGACAGAGAGCAAACTAAGTCATCTGGCCTAGAAATTTCAAAAAGAAAAAGCCTTTGTCACACAGGGAAAAAATAAATCTGCCTTAACAAATAACATGCATTCAAGAACCCCAAAAAGAAGCCAGTGCTGGAGAGAATGACTGTAGCAATTAAAGAACTGATAACTGCTAAAGAGGGCCAAATATACTTCTATCAAGAGCTACAATATGTGGTAAAGTTGATTAGCACACTGTGAACCAGAGAAAAGGGGAAGAAATAAAACAAAAGAACAAAGCTTTTTGAAATCTCCATGACGTCTTGGTAAGAAGCCCCGTCCCAAGATGTAAGAAGGTCAAATGGATGGTCAGGCCACTATGTTGTCCATCATGTAGAAGGAGGGGGGTAGTACTGGTTATACTGGGCATACTGGTTGTATTGCCCCCAGGAGTTTTGTCCCCAACCACCGTACTGTTGCTAAAGAGAAAAGTGGGGGGGAGGGGGTTAGAAGGGCTGTAACTGACCACACATACTTCTTGTGACAAACTAATTTCTAAGTGCTGTAAATGTAACTGATCTGTAACCCACCTGGTACCAGTTATAGTTGTAGGCAGAGGCATTTGCCTGCATGTCAGTCATGTTTGCTACAGCACCAGAGCCGTCATCCACACGCTGCCTCTTAGCATCAGGTTCCTGAGAGCTGGAGAGGTAAAGTTTAAATTAGTAAGATCCAGCTTATAGCTGACAAATGAAACAGCAGTTACAGCCAAGTTTGTTGTTTTTACTGTTGTTCTAACCAATTTGTAGATTTTCAATATGTAGAATATGCATCTGCCCTTCACTGAGATATCAAGAAATACAAGACACTCTAGAAAATAGACTAGTAGTAGTCGTCACATGTGTCTAACACCTTGTTAGAAGGGGGTGTGAAAATTTTCTGAAAGTGTTTGTGGGGATGTGATGGACGCTGCGTTTCATTAACCACCTGTCATACCCGTTCTCGGCCTTCCTCTTTGTCGATTCATTTTCTTTTTGTAGTTTCTGTTGTTCTTCATAGGCAGCAACAAGGCTGAAAGATGTAAAAGAATAAACATGACTCTTTACAAAAAAAACCAAACAAAACAAAGAATGAATGTATTCATTTCTCCCTTTACCACTAAAAACAACTTACGCATTAATATCGCTGCCAAAGTCTTCAAGAAACTCGACTTTGCGCTGGGCAAAGAGGAGTCGTGATTCAAGAGGCATTGGGCTATTCAGGGCTCGGTCAAAACAAGCCAAGATCTCTGCCTCATTCTGGGTCACATCTCGATTGTATTCCAGCTCAAGCAGGTTTAGATACAGTTTTGGACTAGTCTACAAAAACCACAAAACACACAATTTAGTTGACAACTAGTGCAACACAGTTATATTTATCATGTGAACAGAATTCATTGCAAGAGAAACACAACCAATGCTATAATGTGTTGACCATCTGATATAGTCAACCCTCTCTCACCTGGTCTTTTTCAATAGCATCCAGAAGCACCTTCCTCGCCTTGCCCAGACTCCTCTGCACCTTCATCAGCTGCCTGGCCAGCTTCACAGCATAGAACGATGTCTCAGTAGCATTCTTCGCAGACTCCATCGCCTCCCTCAACAGCGCCTCAGCTTCCTCCAAGTTTCCGTGGCGACGCTCCAGGCTGACCCTCCGAAGGCGCACCATGGCGAGACCTGGGATCGATGCCTCCAGGGACTTCAGGATGCTCTGAGCCTCCTCTATGCTGCCTGGGTTAAAAAAGAAGAAAAAAGAAAGAGGAATGTCAGCTGAGCAGTTTTCCACATTTGTTTCTTATTCATGATCTCCATGCTTTATGTTGCTTTTGCATTTAATTTGCATGCTGCTTTGACTGACTAAGGTACTCACCCTGCTGCTCCTCAAAGGCTGCCCACAGCAGGTGGATGGCTGGTTTCTTGGGCAGATGGACGGTACACGCCTTCTTGTAGACATGTCTCACACCCTCAGTGCTGTATCCCTCTAGATATTTTGCATACTTCAGAGTGAAAAAGAGAAAGCAAGTTGGAAGAAAGCCAGGAGAGGACAGAGGAAAAAAAAAAAAAAAAAAAAAAAAAGAAAGAAAGAAAGAAAGAAAGAAAAGAAAGAAAGGCAAAAGAGACAAGACATTTTTAAACTACATTTTGAGTTCACAGACAGGCAATTTCTTCATTGACAAGATCGTTTTTAGAAATTTTCTGTGTAAACCCATCAGCACCTTCATGGAACCAATTAGATAAGTTTCTGTAAGGTAGTGGGAGACGAAGAAGATGCAACGTAGTAGTTGGCATATGCTGCAGTCAAATCTTGTGTGGCAAGCTGGCCATCCCCTAATACAACAGATACAGTCACATATCAACGTTACACGCAAAGAGTGCAGGACTGTGTCGATGTGATATCATCGTTGATGGGGGAAGTGCAGGGAGGTAGCAGGAGTGTCGGAAAGGCTCAAGGTCACTTTACCTTGATCCAAAACTCCTCATAGAGAGCGCAGGCGATGAGGCATCTTTCGAAGAGAACCACCACACGCTCCGGAGTCCCATTCTCAATTTCGAACTCCAAGTACTCCTTCCAGTTGTTCAGTTGAGTCTTCTCCAAGGCTTTGACGTGGAAGTACGGTCTCTTAATCTAAAGAAACACAAATTGATTAGTTTGATAGTAATGAGGGGGGGACTGAAAGAATAAAACATCAGTAAGGGAAAAAAAAACAAGACCCACCCCTTCTTCAAAGGCCCAGCGCTTGCTGACTTCGTGTTCATTGTGGTTGAAAACTTCCTGCCGCACCTCAATCACCTTGTGGCGCATGTTCTCAATCTCCGTCACTCTCTACATACAAACACACAGACAAAAACAAGGTTAGCACCCTTATTTGTGCTTCTCCGTATCACATTCTCCACTTGATGTAAAAACTTCTATTCCTGCAGCCAACGATTTACATCACCAGAGATAAGAAGCCTGCAGAGGGGAGAAGTATTTATGCACCCTGCATATCAGCCACTGGGTATAGGTGCTGGGATCAACGGGCCCCGGGTGATCCTGTAAGTTTTAGGGCGAGTCCCTGACTGGATACCAACGTGAATCCCACCTGGCATTGATTGGCCTGGCTGCTGACATAAAGACACCTCTTCAAACCTAGGCAAATTATCTTTTCCCTTTCATCATGGATAACATCCAAGCTCCTGCTAACCCTGCAAGCAGCAATTTTATAAATTTTTTTCCCCTACGGGATTGGCAGAGAAGGTTTTACCTTAGCAGGATCCGCAAGATCCTCTGTACCAGGTGGAAGCTCCTCCTGAGCAACTTGTGACTCTCCACTGTCACCAACCATTCCCGACAGGCTGGCTTTAGAGAGCTCGAGCCTTAGCTGGACAAACTCCTCTTCTGACAAGAAGTGCCTGGGGTGATTAGTCTGCACATGGTCTTTGAACCTGCAGAGAGAAAAGAAAATGTCAGTGCACAGCTCTTTCATACAATGACGTTATAATTTTCAAAATGATTTGCACCATGACTATTTATTCCTTTACCAAAGCATGAAATCAACTTTCAGTTAAGCTGTTCAAGATGGAAGATTAAGCAAAACCAACCAAGCAGACCATGGGCAGAGGTAGAAACTATTATTTGTGCAGTTCCAAAACAAACATTTCAAGACTGCAGAACAGGATATGTCCATCACTGGGTTTGGGGCTTTGTAATTTTAAAAACTTTATAATTTTAAAAACTTTATATTTGCCTTTTATGATGATTTTAATAACACACTCCTCAAGTGAATGCAAACTTTCAAACAAATCTGGAAACTGTTCTTTTACTGTACCTCTGGAAGTGCTGGGAATACAGCTGGGTTGGAATGCCCAAGATGCGGTCATAGATGGCGGTGACGTTACCCAACTTCTGCTGCTCTGTCTCCCAGTTTATGAAGGATTCCCACAAACGGTCTGAGCGAAAGTCAGTGCCTGCTGCAAGCACTGCATGCTCATAGGAGCTAATAGGAAAACAAAAAAGGAAAAAAGATTCATGAAATGTCTCATTAACTCATTAACATTTGAGAAGAAAGTAAAACAGTAGAGTGTGTGTGTGTATGTCTATATATATATAAATAAAGACTTTACTCACGCTCGAATGCGCCCCTCAGTCTCTGGGTCATTAGGATCAGAATTCTCTTTGATGAAGGTCAAATAGTGGATCCACAGGTCGACACTGAGAGGGATGACCTGCAAACCTCTTCTGTACACCTTGGAAAAAAATAAATAAAATGAGTTTGTTCATAAAAGTCTGAGTTTTTATGCCCCAAATTTTGGTTCTTAACAGATTATTCTAGCTGGTCAGTTATTGATGACACAGAAAAGCAGGCACACCAAGTTAAAAAAAAAAAAAAAAAAAGCAACACGTGTACAAAAGTACAAGAGGCATACTTACTTCTTCTGCAACTTGTACATTGCCATGCTTTTTCTCAATATCTGCATACTTCTTCCAGTAGCCATAGCAGTAGGGGTAACGTAGGAAAAACACATCAAATGCCTTCCTCACTGCTGTAAGGACATTCTGTAAAGAAGCAGAAAGACCAAATTGCAACAATTTAACCACCTCTTTTTAGCATTACAAGTAATTTCTGTTCAAATTTATTGGACAAGAATATATTTTCACTCAGTTTTGTAAATGTGTGTGCCTTCTGTTTACCTCTTGTTCTACATACTGCAGCAGATAGACCCACGCATTGAAATCTTCTGGGTTTTCCTCAACTCCCTTAAAAAGCTTTTCAAACTCTGAGGGCAGTTCAGGATCTGTAGGAACAGCTGCTTCTTCTGTTGTTTCTTTGGATGGGTCTTCTAGCTCCATGCCATCCTCTGCCACCTGTGTAGCCTCTGTCCCATCTAGAGAAGTTGACAAGGAATCATCAAGTGAGTTTAACTACAAAATTACAGTTTATGATTTGTGCATAATGTGTCATTTGTTGACAGTTTTCTTTTCAATAAATTAGTTACTGTAAGCACCGACAGAAAAAAATAGAGAGAGACACTATGCTGATTCTACACAGTACCTTTCTTGGTTGCTTGTTGAAAACTAGCTAAATCTTACGACGTTACACTAACAATTGGACCAGAGTCAACTTCATGACTAAGCATTTATTATTAAATCAATTGAGCCAACTGAAAAACAAGTTTTAAGTTACCTTGACTGTCAGTCTGTCCAATGGATTCAGACTCAATATTCATGTCCTGGCTGCAAGGCTCAGACCCTACAGGTTCTGTTGCTTGCTGTGCATCTTCTGTGGGCTGTGGAGGGGGAGGAGGTGGCGGTGGTGGAGGTGGGTGTTCTTGGAAGAGCTGAGCATTGGCAAGTTGAAATTGTTCCACAGCCTTCTCCACAGATCCCAGATCTGTGGAATTCATTTGCTGACCCGGTTGTTGCTCTTGTCCCATGGCATCCTGAGACACATCTGAATCCTCAGGCAAGACATTGGAGAGAGGCTCTGGAGCAACCTGGTCTACTGACCAGTCAGTCGCTTGGCCTACGACAGGAAGGTCTGGAAGAAAGGCATCCCCATTGCTCTCCATGGCAGGGGACTCAGTATCCAGCATTCCAGGAAATGTACCCTCTGAGATTTTCAGGTCTGTTGGGACAGAAAAAAAGTAAAGACAAACTCAGGAAAAAGAAAATAGATTTTTCCACACACCGAATACTATTACAGTTTACTGAAATATTAATGGTTTGTACAACTTAACAAAAAAAAAAAAAACTAAGAAAACTAGCTCTGAAATAAGCTAAAGTATTCCCACCATTTAAATAAATCAATAAATAAAAACATCCACTGAGTTTCCAATAATTTCTTTAAAAATACGCACTTAATGATACTAGTCAGGACAGCACAAAAACAATGTCAAGTACAATTATAATAAGGAACTTGGTGCCTAAAATAAACAAGTAAGAAATATCCAAGTGTGAACTGCAGTTATAGGTAAAATATCTACAAACAAGAAATTACTTTCAACTCACAATTTAAGCCAGTTTAGTTCTGACAAAGAATTTTCCACAACTATTGACAACGTGCTGTATTTTAAACTTGCCATGAACCTTCACTACTTAAAATGATACTTATAAATCTGACGCAACACGACGCATGTTTTTCGTTTCAAACTATTTTTTTTTTTATTTTACTTCCTTTACGCCTAAAGGGGTCAACCCTAGTAAAAACAGCCGCTAAAGCAACAGGATACTTCCTTGTTCTAACATTAAACCAGTGCCAGTTTAAGCTTCAGCCCTAATTTAACTACTAAAAATAATTCCGCGTACTCGGTTGCTTACTCTTAGCTTCTCGCTTAGCTACCTTAATACTAAAGTTGTTTTCTTTTTTAATTTTACTTTGGGGATTTTTTTTGTTTTGTTTTTTAAATGCAATATTTCCTTTAAAAAACGAGTAGCTTTAGCTTTGTTTGCTCCTCGAGGCCTTGTTGTTGCCGGGAGGTCTTTTCCATGATCAAAGTTCAATCAGAAGTTAGGCCTGGCGCCCGTCTATCTCAAATAAGTATAATAGTAGAGGTCGAGGCATGTTTCGTGTACGCGCTTGCTTAGTACGGTCCAACACAAACTATTCGTCTTTAATTAAGTATCTACATTTTTCATCGATTCTTTACGTTGATAGCAACGTTTACAGAATAGCGAATAGGAAACTGTTACATACATCGTAACTAGGACATTTACATGTACAGCCTTTGCTTAGGCCTCCAGGAAATAGTCGGTAGCAGTTAGCTAACAGCAGCACGTTAGCTAACAGGCTAATGTTACCCATTTCGCCACTAGCGATTGTTAAATTCGTTACTAACCAGATAAAACCAAATCAACAAATAAAAATACGTTTAAGAATCTTATCCGTATCTGTTGCGTCAATTTACTTACCCCCGTGGACTTGAGTGCAGCTTTTGAATTCACTTTATCTACACTATTGCGACCGGCCGCGTTTCGCATACCATTCTTAAGTTGGAGGAAGATGAGAGGGACAGTGTACGCATGCCCAGTCGAACTACCACCCACCAGCGACGGCGCGCTATTCGTTGTTCTTGATGTCTTGCCAATTTACATTTTATGATGAAATTAAAATGCAGAAACAATATTTTGAAGTTAGCCCATAGCTTTTGTGAATTCCTCCAGAAGTAATGAAATAAATAAATACATTTCCTGCAGTTGCAGTGTTTGTTAAAAGTGCTGCATATAAACCCTACATATTTTAGTGTACACACACTGACACAAGAATTCAACCGCTTTTAAACCGCATGACGCAATATTAAACGTGAGCTCTAAATCTTCTGTGGCTTTTGTACAATACGTTACACTGCATTGAATTTTTTTGAAAGTAACACTCTTTACTTTTATTAATAAAAAAACAAACATTTACAATCAACCAAGCTTTATACCACTTTATACTTCCATACAATAAATCCCCCAAACAACTTCTCTAGGTATAGAATTACATTTTGTATTTCACTTTTATTATATTTATTAAAGCATTTCGTTTTATTAAACAAACCACTATTGATCTAATTAATCACTTGGGACTCAGCAAGCTGCAGCAAGCAGGTAAAGTCAGGTAGGTCTGGTACTGTTGTGTGGGCGCTTTCTAGTTAACCTAACCCAGCTATGTGCCAGTAAAGGTGTTATTAGTTTTATTACTATATTTTCATTTAGACTTTGTCCCTAGTCAGCATCACTTCGTCACAATCCTGACATTTCTCCACCATATCGACTTCAAGAACTTGTTTACTTGCTTCCTAATATATTCCACACTTTGTTGAGTGCTACTGTTACAATACAATATTACCAATTTAATATCTCAGTGGTTATATTACTGTGGCAGATCAACATGTGTTGCAAGTTTATGCACCACACTGGCATGTTTGTTATTCAGCTGCCTCGCCTCAGTTGCAAGTAGACAACAATTTCAGAGATCCTTATCATGAATGTTTGTGCCTGAAAATGTGGAGCGGTATTTGAGATCCTAGATTTGACTAAATCTATGAAAATTATGTCTTTTTGCTTTTATAAAGTCATTGACAACTTTTTTTATTTTAAGAAACTTCTAAGAACAGTAATAATAGTTAGATGTTAAACTGGCAGGCACAACAGAATGAAAAACAGGGTGAGGCCCCTTTGTAAAATCTCACATTTAAACCCATTTCAAAAGTAAAGTTGGGACGGTTATTCTCATAGCCTTATTTTTGAATAAGGCTTATGAGTGCATGACTGTTTTATGATATTAGAATCACCTCTCATAATTTATTATGGCAATAAACACGAGTTCACTTATATTTATACTGACCGTGTCTTTCTTTAGGCAGCCTAAATTAATAAGCTGGTGTCAGGTAATGCTTTCACCAATGAAATACTGTAGTTCCTCCCGCCCTACTCACTCACATTCTCCACGTCACAGACTAATAATACAGGAACTGTTTGAATGGATGATAAGACATGCCAGAAAGACCCGAAAGTAAACCGTCTCCTGAGACCACCGGGCCAACTAAATCATGGCATGTGTTTCATGTGTGCGGTCTTGTGTGTTTTCATTGCGGTACGTTAAACCAGAGGCGATTACATCCATAATGAACGCCCAAATGGCGTCAGCAATAGTGCCTAATGGACCGGTCTGCAGTTCTTTTTTTCTGGGCGCGCATGCGAAATGGCGTGCAGTGCGTTTAGGGGCAGTCGCGTTTTTTAAAATCTAAATGAAGGGTGTGTTTTCCCAACGTCCACGGTGGTTTCTACGGAGCGTGGATTTTGAAACAATTACAACGTCAGTGCATAACTTTATTAAATCAATAATCTGGTGCAGATTTAAACGATTGTTTATTTCGTTGAACGATTTGATTTTGGGCTGTCCAATAAATCGAATTAAAGATTATTTGAGTGTTAATTACCTAATTTACTAATTCTCTAGCTGTTATGTTTAAGGAGGAATACGGACATGAAGATTGATTTGTAGAGAGTTTCTGTGCACCATCCTTCTAGTCTTTTGTTTTCAATGTAGCCAAATTTCTGAGCTCCGAGGTAGCCCCTGAATGTATCAGTAGTGTGTGTGAGCGGTATAGAGGAAGTGGCGGCTGATCTGGGTCCGCACCTTTTCCGGTAACACAGCACCGCCACCGCTGTGACTGAACGGCTGGAGAGAGAGAGAGAGAGGGAGGAAGAGAGACAGAGAGCGGCAAGAGCGGGGAGAAACGGTCCGGGGACAGGGGGATGATTGCCGCAGACGTAAGTATTTACCGCGGTCTTCGTTTTATCTGTACCGTGTTGCTTTTCTGTGTGTGAAAAGAGTATTTTTTTCGGATCCAAAGTTGTCCTCTGTACTAACACCCCTCCCTTCTCTGGACCGCTCCTGTGTCACAGGGGGAAGAGAAGAAAGTCGGATGAATCAATGACCTTTTGAGCGCTCTTCCTCTGGATGTCCCGGCGCAGAAACGGACCGGAGAGGTTTAATTTAGGCTTTTTAACAAGAAAATTACCGAGCTTTAAAAATTCACCGACTGGAATTAGCTAAGGCCAATTGTGGATACCCGGCAGCCAAGGAGGAAGTGGGAACCCCCGGGCTTGAACTGGGCCTGATTTTTGTATAGTCCGCTTCTGGTGAGAAGGCACTACTTTGTGTCAGTTTCCAGCTCCGCTGAGAGCAACAGGATTTCGAACGGAAAAAAAACTTGAAATGTGGCTTTTGACGGAAGTCAGTGCTCATAGGCGACTTTGAAACATATCGGGCTTTTTTCTTCTTCTTACTTCGGAATCCATTGGATCATGAAAACAGACCCCCACTCAAGTCTGTGAGGGCTCCATACACACTGCTTCTACTGAATGCTCAGGTCAGATCACCACAGACCAGCTAACTGTACTGTACAAACTTGCAAGCCACCACCTTTTGAACATTGGCACTTGTGTCAGCCCACCGCTGCCATCACGTGGAGGACTTTCAGTAGCAACACAGTGAAACTGTAACTTCTCAGTGATATATCTCCCCCTATTTTCTTCTCATTGGAGAAGCTTCATTATATCTTCTAAAGAAGTATTTATGAACAGAAAACAAGATGGGGAAAATGCTTTCAAAGATCTTTGGCAACAAGGAGATGAGAATATTGATGCTTGGACTTGATGCTGCTGGGAAAACTACCATCCTGTACAAGCTGAAGCTGGGACAGTCAGTCACCACCATCCCCACTGTTGGTTTCAATGTGGAGACTGTCACCTATAAGAATGTGAAGTTCAATGTGTGGGACGTGGGGGGACAAGATAAGATCAGGCCGCTCTGGAGACATTACTACACGGGCACCCAGGGGCTCATTTTTGTGGTGGACTGTGCCGACAGGGATAGGATCGACGAGGCGAGGCAGGAGCTCCACCGCATCATCAACGACCGGGAGATGCGGGACGCCATCATCCTCATCTTCGCCAACAAGCAGGACCTCCCAGATGCCATGAAACCACACGAGATCCAGGAGAAGCTGGGCCTGACGCGGATCAGAGATAGGAATTGGTACGTTCAGCCTTCGTGTGCGACGACAGGGGACGGACTCTACGAGGGCCTGACCTGGCTTACCTCAAATTATAAGTCTTAATGTTTCCCTCCCTCCCTCCTCCTTTCTCACCAGCCTGGACACTTGGAGGCAAAAGAAGTAGCTGAGAATGAAAAATAATAAGTAAAAAGAAAAAAAGATGCAATCTGAAGCAATTAATACCACGACCCCTCTGCTGAGTGTGTATCAAAGAGGGTAGCATTTACTTCTAGTTTTCTTTCTTTCTCTTTTTTTGGATAATGTTGACATCACTATAATCACAGATTTCATTTAAGCAAAAAACCAACATATTTCTTGGCTTTTTTTTTTCTTTGTAGCTTGCTTTGGTTCACACTCTGTATAACCAGCACTGTTTAAATATACAGTACGCTTTCTTTTACAGCAAATTCTTTATTTTTTTAACTCCCTGTTTTTTGTTTTTTTGTGTAATTTTTTTTTTCAGGGGACTATGGGGGACACGTTTATATTTCCACCCCATGCTTAACCCTCATTCAGTATTCTCAGTCATCACCCAGCTACATATCCAAAGGATGGGGAAAGTCCAAAAAGACAAAAAACAAATGAAAAAAAAAAAAGCCCATTGCCTAGCACAACCGCATATCACCTTCACTGGTCGAAGTTGCCGCTGTAATTTGTTAGAATGCGTGTTTATGAATATGTTAGGACCTTCCTTTTGTATTCGATTGTACTGGGATGAATGAGGACGTGTTAGTTATTTCATGTGCAGTGATTCCATCCATAATGTCTACTGTGGCGGTTTGTTCGAAAGACACTATGTGGACGCTTGATATTCTGACACACACACGTACACACTGTGATATGGATATATCTATACATTTTGTTGTTTCAGGGTTTGAATCTGTTACAACCAGTCTTATCGTTTCCTCTCGAGCTTCCGTTACTGTTGAGTGTTTGTAGTTTCGGCTGCCTTAAGAGGGACCTGAGTTACAGGTGTCCCCACACCCCCCTCCCCAAAATCAAGACAGCAGAAGGTATTCTTAGTCACTGAGTTTGCACTGCAGGACAGAGCGAGGGAGGGAGGGAGAGGGGTTGGTTAGCAACAAGGTGGCTGTGCACATTTTTACTCTCTGTGACTGACTTTTGGACCCCAGCAAATGTTAACCAAATACCCAACCCTCCCCATTCACCACCACCACCTCCTCCACCTCCAATGCAGGTGCTCCAGTGACTTCAACCCCCTTCTCTTTTCTTTAATTATTATTATTTTTAAAATCATCAGCCTGTATGGTCCTGCAAACACCAAACCGGCTATTCTGTTAACGCTTTATAGATGCCGCTGTTTTATTTCTTCTCTTTTTCTTTTTTTTTTCTTTTGCTATTGCTGATAAAATAATAAAAAAAATTATATATCCAGATCAGTACGGAAGTGATGCCTTTTCAATGAGCAGCTGCTACCGTAGCAAAAGTCATATTTCACAAAAAGTTCC